TGAATGTTGGTGTTGCGCATCTTATTTAGAAACTTATTTTATAAGTTAAAAACTTAAAGTTAAAATTTTGGAAATAAAGTAGTAAAAACACAAGCTGCTCTAATAGGATTCATGTATTATATATTAATATATTAATAGCATATAAACTCATTTTACTATCGAGAAAAGCACATAATAAAGCAAGTTTTTATGTTCGGTTATCTATAAGATCTTATATATTTTTTAACCCTGTTTTTTAAAGATTTAACGTTAGGGTACTAAATAGGTGCATAGACTAGAATTTTTATTACTTTTTTATATTATCTTTTATACATATTAATTTATTTTAAACCTTCAATATATAATGATGGTTCTTCTAATCGAATATTATGATACTCGTACTGCTCGAGCTGCCAAAGAATCAATAAATGGCATAATTATTGAAGTATCTTATATTTGGTGATTTATTCAATTATTTTAACCTTATCATTTATAATCCTATTATTTATAATTCAGTATTTATAAATGGGAAATCAATAGAAAACAAATGAATTGTTTCTAAATAATTTTTTTTTATTTTAATTCTATAACTGTGTCGAATTAAAAAAAAAGTTACTTAGAAACAATTTTCATTTTCTATTGTCCTCATTCTCATATGTTTATAATTCGTTCATTTAGTTATATTTATAATTCATTATTTATTTATTTTTATAAATTCATTAGTTTATTTATAATTAAAATTTCCTATAAAAAAATAGTAGTTCAAATTTGTGTTCAATATTACAATGCTGGATCACATTCATGGGATGCGGTTGCTGAAGATTTCAAACATCATCAAAAAATTAATTTGGCCATTCCTCCACCCCGCGCATATTCCTGGTTGTCCCTGCACCAGGTCTAGAAAATAAGTCTGAAGATATGACAAAGATTTCTCTATCCTCACTTGAAAATAGTACCATGATCTCGTCTGGTAACAGAGCTATCCCTAAGAAAAATACTCTAGATATTGAAAGAATTAGAAATGGTATTTTTAATTTTATCATCTCTAAAGGATAGAGTGAACTTGAGCAAACTTCGTTTTTTGATACATCTGCTTCTATTTTTTGATACATCTAGCGTATCCTAACCAATAGGGAAACAATAGATTGTATGTTATTATAGTAAAAGTTAGAAATTTTAGGGTGTGTCAAAAAAGTAAACTTACCATTTTACTAATAATTAAATGGCAATTCATAATATGAATTGTCTTGTAATTATATATTATATGCTTCAACCAATCAGAATTGAGAACTTTGTTAATGAGATTTTGATAATAATTGGTTAAGTTGTTAAAAAGTTTTATCAAAGCATCTTTTACTAACTATGTATATGTAAATTTTATTTTTCTATAGACCTTGATGATCATATCACATTAATGATCAGGAATATTCCAAACAAGTACAATCAGGTATGTACATATTCATTCTATTATCAATAGACATATTGCGTTGTTGCTTACTTGTATAAAATTTAGCGAATGCTGTTGGATTTGTTCAACGAGACCTATTGTAGTTAATACAATTTTGTCTACTTGCGTATTGATTTTAAACCGAATGCAATGTCAGATATGCTTTTATTAACTTTGTGGATATCAGGTAAAATTTTTCTCTATATTTGCTTATGATTTTTCTAACTCTATTATTTATATATTGTTTAAAAGTGCCGTACTTTCTTTTGTTGAGGCACACATTAGAAAAAAATGGTATGTTCATTTTCATTATTGACCCAAGTTTTTATACAATTATTACGCAATCCTTGTAACAAATAAAACTGTTTTTAAAGGCCGAGCTTCAACTCTGACAAGATTTGTGAATTGTCATATACCAATGTCCAAGGCACAAACGTGCTCGTCCAAAAGTTTAGAAATTCGTAGTACATATATCAAAAAAGAGCTTTTTTGTAAATTACATCATCGTAAAATAGTATTATAATTATTATTTTTAGCATTATGTCAGAAGCTCCCGAATACCATCCTAAACTTTTTTATACCACGGGTACTATGCGTGGTTATGAAGTTCCTTTCCCAAGACCCGATGACATTGAAAAATGAATTGTACTGAGAAAAATGCTTCAAAAATAATAGGAGTCCTTGTAGTTCATTAAGGAAAGTACTTAGTTTTGCGTCTTATTTATTTATTTTTATTTTCACTATTTGTTTACAAATTTTATATTATATTTATATATCGGACATAGAGATGTGCTACGTACCATATGTGAGAAAAATTCGGGTATCATATCTCGACATAAAGCATCGTTGCTATTTTTCTGAGAATTAATGGATTCTTTTAAAGGACAATGTTCAAAAGCCAAATGATCTTATGATTTCGACATCCCATGGGACCGCGAAATCATCTTAACTTGTGACTCAGAATTTCAATAAAAAAAGATAAAATAGAGAATTGTTTCTTTCTGAATAAAGACAGCTATTTTACAACCATTAATGCTTTTCAGAGTTTGGAATTTGGGACTCCTTTATCAAGAATTCTTTATAAAAGTTAGTTAATTAGGTTATTGATGAGCATTAAAAACAAAAGTCGTAAAAATAATACAATTCATTAAAAACTCAGTTCATTCTCCGATAACGTCTTGATACCGTAGGAGTATGAAATGAGTAATAAAATATTATTGGTGCCAAATTAATTTTTATGTTGGCTCTATGTAGGTCAAATATTAAACTACACCACACCGTAGAATAATTCTTTATTTACTTTGTTTATTGAATTAACCAAATTAAAAATTTTATTTTTTGCTTCGTTGTTTTATTCTGATGTCATGT